CCCCCCCCCCCCCCACGATAGCTCATCCAATAACTTAAGAATAATAGAAAGAAAAGAAAAAGGCAAATAAAAACTTGAAAGAAACTTGTTAGAAGCATTCGACAACAGCGGGCCGTTTACGTTTTCTTTTCTGTGCTTGGGTTAAGGCTGGGGGTGGCGGTGGGGGCGGGGGAAGGATCACATCACACTTACACATGAAAGTACAGACAGAAGTAGACTGAGAGGCTCACCTGCTTGGGATAGGAGGCATGCACCTTTGTCTGTATGATGGCGTGGTTGGTGGGCGTGAGGTACTTGCTTATCGGGGTGTAACATTTTCCTCGACACTCAAACGCCTGGGAGGAGAATGGACAACATCATAAGGCTAAAGTGCCAACAGCCGTAGTTAGATAAGAGTTGATGGCAAACAATTTATTGGTATGTATGCTATTTTCAGGAAAATATATCAAGGTTGCTTTTCAGAAGAATGATGATGATGATGATGATGATGATGATGATGATGATGATGATGATGATCATGATGATGATGATGATGGTGATGATGATGATGATGATCTTTTGAACGTCTAATAACCGAATGTATGTTCAAACAACATTACGTCTCCTGCAAAGGGACGTGTGTAGGGAAAAAAGTAGGTATATCAATATCGCTGACAGAGAGACAAAAAATCTATCCCTTAGGAGCGGGAACAGAAAGAAACGAACAGAACAGTACACAGAAGAATGGAGATTTTTTATACAAAGGTACTAGACTATCACCTGGTGCCCTCGCAGAAAATCTGCACATTCCCGGATAATGTCAAGTACCGTACCTGATAGATTCAAGGAGGCTTCAGCAGAGTGAATGACTAATAACAATTAACTTCAAAGAGAAAGCGGGGGGGGGGGGGGGGGGGGGGGTAAATTCTATAGAAAGAATTGCTGACAGTTTAAGATCCACAAACAGCCAGTCGTCAGGTTCCTGCTATTTGATAACAGAATACATTGCCAATTGTGCGCTGCAGGTGGCTTATATCACGAGGAAGATAATTAATGTAAACGGAGGAAAAAGAAATCGGTATAGATAGTCTTATGCTTGCGATTAAATTCCAATCATTTCGTATGCCAGTTACGAAACACGTGGGTTTATTTTTTGCCAAGAGATTTTTAAACTTTGCTTTCATACAGAATACATTTGAGACAGAAATCAACTTGTCAAAACTAGTCCTAGAAGCTAAGAAAGACAGTCTGTGTAGCCATTTTACAAAGATTCCGTTACTATACCAAGTTCACTCAACTAATTTATTGATTTTTTAAAAATTCAGCCATGACCAACTAGATTTTCCTCCATGGGTTGGACAAAGCTTCCATTTTGGCGAAATACGATCGATTTGAACTAAAATTGACTGTGACCTTGCAAAACGACCTACAAAAACATTTGTTTTGGAAGGTCTCGAATCGAATCCGTCGTACTGAGCCAAAACGGCAGTTTTTCATGAAAGAAAATCTGGCTGATTCCAATTGAAACAAACTGGCGGTGTGCACTGGGTATTATGATTAACGTCAGTAGTGCCAACGTAACCTGGTGGTGCGCCTATAACCCTGAGTTGTTGATAATGAATTTTGCATCTATTTACAGTTTTTTTAGGCGTGTAGCTTTACATGCGTGCACGTGTTTGTGTGAATGTAAAACAAGTATTATGAGTGTGTGTGTGTGTGTGTGTGTGTGTGTGTGTGTGTGTGTG